GACAGGTAGGTGTAAGAGACAACTTCATGTAGGTTTCTTCCCTTGATAGTGATTGGTGCTTGTTGTTGTTTATGTTGTTGTTGGTTGGGTATCTTCATCACCTCTGTCTTCTTCATGCCCACCTGAAGGAAGTGCCGTCTTCGCTACCCTTCCTCTTCCGCCAACCTGTTGGTTTTTGCCTGTAGATCTTGGAGTGTGTGTGACAGTAGACACTAGACACAAATCATCATCGACAAAATCCAAGCCCCCTAGAGTTTTTTTATCAGTGAAGCTGCGTACGACCATCTCCTTTCTCCTCACTGTATGCTCCATGATCCAGTCTAGTAGAGTCGACCACAATTAGGAAGGGCATCAGTCATAATAAATAACCTTATCTTACTCCTTCCTGAATTCACTGCATAGGCATCAGTGAGATTTCCATTGTGAATCACTTGGCATGTGGCGTCCTCATATAGTTTTTGAATGAGGTTGATAAAGATTTGTGGCACTCACTTTGTAGTGTTGAAGCAGCTGGCGAATTACTTCTCGGTCGACGCTGTCAAAGGCCTTCTCAAGGTCGATAAAGTTGAGGTAGAGGGTTAACTGCTATTCTATACTCTGTTCTATGATGATGCATTGCGTAGCGTCGCGATTTGACCCGCACAGGATTCGTACTTCCTAAATCCAGCCTGTTCTGGTCATAGTTTGGATCCAGCGCATCGTTTAGTCTCTCCAGGATGATGCGACATAATATTTTGCTTGGAGTAGACAGAAGTGGAGCATGAATCCGCACCCGTTCTAGCAAAGATTTGGGTTCCCTTTCTTAGGAAACAACCACGCAATAAGATGGAAAAGATAAAGCCACTGTACTTTAGTCCAATGTAATTAGGCGAAGAGAGAGTGAGATTGACAACTGAATCTTTGTTCATCGAATCAACACCCACCCAACATATGTAATAGAAATGACTCAACACCATACTAGCAATATGGAATATTTTACCACCAATACAAACAAGGATTAAGAGATAACGTAACTATAAAAATGAAATGTTGAAAGTAGTGTGATTATGAGCAATGAAAATATATGATTGAAACGTCATTGAGTCAATAATAATCTGTGTTATAAATGAAATAAATAAATCTAGCAACAGCAGGGGGGATATTATTGTTATAGTTATTTTTCCCTTGGGTTCCTACTTCAATATAGGACTTCACTATCATGCCTCCATTACACTCTTTCCTCTGCACTCCTTTCAACCTCGCTACACGACTACACACAAGCTCTCATTTCTTCTCCTCATCATCTCCTCCATCTCACAACCAACTCAGATGCACAACTCGTCGTTTCCACTTCCGATTTCACTCAACGGCTTCGTCTATCACATGATGTTCCCAATCAGGCCACTCTGTGTATGCCCAATCCATCTCCATTCTCTTCCACTGCATATTTGTTGGGCAATAGGTTCTTGCTTCGTTGGTTCGTTCCCAGATTTCCACCTCGCTCCTTCTTTCTAGACATCTCACCTGACCTTCAGTATGGAGTGAGCGTAAGTGGCAGCTGTTGATAAATATCTCTAGTTTTTGGAATCACTTTTCGGGATGCGCCATTTTCCCAACCATTACATAGTAGCACTGACTTACTTGACTGAATTCGTGTTGAATATCTGGATGTTGTTCACGCTTTGTGCTGACTACAATGCAGTGGATCTCCACACTGATTTCAGATTATTCAAGGAAGGCCTGTCTTTCTGTCTTTCCAATCCTGGTTGGTTTTGATATCCCCGTCTGTGCCTGTACTGACTTTAGTTGAAACGATGCTGCCTATGTAGGCTAGTAACTAGCCAACTAGTTAACCAGGCGAGCTTGCAGAGAAGGTATACTATCATGTTAATAAAAGGACAGGCAAATAAATGAAAATGTATCCTAACATTTTGTTATTTGCGTTCGCCAATGAATATAAAATAAAATAAATTTGTTTCAACTGATATTTTGGTATGCTTATTACTGATAGCTTTGTCATAGAAAACCAGAATTTACAATATCATCCAAGCTTATGCATATGATAACTTGATAAGTGTTCCTCCGCACAATTTACTTGGCTTTTTCAGAATTTGAGAATATAGATGAGATCCATATGTAGTGTACTGTGTGTACGAGGAGTGTATAAATTACAGATTGAGATTTTTATGTCCACACGTGTGTTTATAGTTCTTATCAACTTGATGTGCTCATTAGTGACTTGCTTCCAGATGGATATCAGGAAGTTCTAACGAGAAGTCGTGACCTGTGGGGTCAACCAGTCGGAAGTGAAGTGGATGCTAACTGAAGACCTTAGGTGATAGTCGCGCTATGTTATGAATCGACAGAAGTTGGAAATTGTCAACCACTGGAAACCGACCCAGTGGCTGAATGGTTAACGCTTTCGCCGTGAAATGTGAAGGCCCTGAGTTCGATCCGTAGCCGGGTCGTGGGTGCGTACTGCTGAGGAGCCCCATACTAGGACGAAACAGCTATCTAGTGCTTTCAGATTCTCAATGGTTCCCCAACCAATGTCAGTCCATGATGAATACTACTTCTAAACTTAATGTATGTTGGTTATATCAGTATGCGGGGTTGGGTTAAGATCAGGTCAAACTACGTATCACTCCCTCATTCCTATTTAGACAATTATGAGTCCATTTAGCGTGAACAGATTCTAATGTGAGACGTACTTTATAATTTCTGAAGGCTTTCTGAATAATTTCGATACTGTCAATGAATCAGCCTTGTGACCTGAAATTATACCGTATAGAGAGTTCTATTGGTTCCACTGGTTTTCTAGAAGGTTGAGTGGTAGCACTTCAGTGTTCATTTCTTCTGAGTTTGATTTCATAGAAAGTTTTTCCTACGTATATTGCATCACCACAATCTGAGCATTTTAGATTATAAACGCAATTGCATTGTGTATCTACAAGGATGTCGTCCTTCAAATGAACCAAAGTGCTTTGAGGCATGAGTTTGATGTTCTGTAGAACAGTTTGATGATATTGGATTTTCTGTACTGGTTGATGAGTGAAGGTAACCATTTATCCTGTGTTGCCTCGAACCACACTCACTCACCTTACTGTTAATTCTGAATTAAAAATCTTCACTTATTCCGAGAAATCTGTGTCTTAAAGCTAGCAAGCAGTGTATTGGCACATTCGTTAAGCATCTGATGAAGACAGAATATTAAGTAGATGTCTCTCAAACTCTCAAGATAATCGAAAATCGAAGAACGCCAACTTTATGACATTTTGTTGATGCTGCCACCATCAAACATTTTCAACCTGACCCGCATACTCAGAAGGAGACTGCAGTTAACCTTACTTTACCTTGCTAACTGTATATAATTTCTGCATGTATATGTATAAAGTCTTATATTTTCTTTCTCTCAACTGCATCATCTCTTCATTAATTACTTCTTGACTGCTATTCGCTTAACTATTTTAAAGTCCTCCAAGTAATCCCGTGACACGGGTGCCTACTATCAACCAAAAACTTCCTCATTGTGGTGAACTGGATCATACAGAAAACTGCAAGGAGCGAGAAAATGGGCATATGCTTGACCGATGAAAATAGCCTTAAGGATTTGGATTTAGCCACTGAAGATTTATGTTTAATGTCGTACAAACTCGAAGATGTACAAACAGCATCAACAACAAGCACCAATCATCACCAACGCGAGAAACCTAAAGGATGTAGTCTTCTTCACCTACCTACTCAGGAGACAACATCGTTTCAACTACAGTCGGCACAGGCACAGACGAGGATATCAAAACCAACCAGGATAGGAAAGACAGAAAGACAGGCCTTCCTTGAATAATCTGAAATCAGTGTGGAGATCTACTACATTGTAGTCAGCACAAAGCGTGAACAACATCCAGATATTCAACACGAATTCAGTCAAGTAAGTCAGTGCTACTATGTAATGGTTGGGAAAATGGCGCATGCCGAAAAGCGATTCCAAAAACCAGAGATATTTATCAACAGCTGTCACTTACGCTCACTCCATACTGAAGATCAGATGAGATGTCTAGAAATAAGGAGTGAGGAGGAAGTCTGGTAACGAACCAATGAAGCAAGAACCTATTGCCCAACAAATATGCAGTGGAAGAGAATGGAGATGGATTGGGCATACACAGAGTGGCCTGATTGAGAACATCATGTGACAGACCAAACCGTCGAGTGAAATCTGAAGTGGAAACTACGAGTTGTGCATCTGAGTTGGTTGTGAGATGGAGGAGATGATGAGGAGGAGAAATGAAAGCTTGATATTATTATCAATGTGTTGTTGAACTATTTATATGAAAATTTACGAAACAAGTAAATATATAGGGAGGAGTAATCGTGATATACGGTTTAGGAAGGTTGAATATGTACCTAAGTGGCTACAAAAATAAATGACCTCGACAGATCCGATCAGTCCATGTGACAAACATCCATCTTCGTCTATCGTTAAACATATACTAGAAACTAACCATAGGATAGACATGAAAGGAAACAGCCTTTAAAGTACTACATAAAAGTGGTCAGAGCCGAGATGTCTAGAAAGAAGGAGTGAGGAGGAACTCTGGCTGGCTGACAACGAACCAACGAAGTAAGAACCTATCGACCAACAAATATGTACTGGAAGAGAGTGGAGATGGATTGGGCATACACTGAATGGCGTGACTGAGAACATCAAGTGATAGACGAAGCCGTCGAGTGAAATCTGAAGTGGAAACGACGAGTTGTGCATATGAGTTGGTTGTGAGATGGAGGAGAAATGGAAGCTTGTGTGTAGTCGTGTAGCGAGGTTGAAAAGAGTGGAGAGGAAAGAGTGTAATTGAGGCATGATAGTGAAATCCTATGTTGAAGTAGGAACTCAAGGCGAAAAAATAATTTTCACTGAGATTTCTATAGGAATAATTGACTAACGATTGAATTATTAGTACACATTATGATACAATTTAAATTACAACGTCTGAAGAGAACAATGATAAGAAAGAAACTTACAGTGTTTTCATTACTTTCTAATATATTTATTCACAATAATATATAATTTACTTTAAGCTATAAGATATAAGATTATATAATTATCTCATCTTAGATTGTTATCGTTTATTCTAAGAATTTATAAAACTGTAAACTTCTTGATCAAGTCCGTAGAAAACATTCAAAAGGTGTATTACTTCAAGATGTAACTATATATATATATACATTTGTTTTTGCCTTATTGATGTTTTCGTCGACATTTAAGTATTTTCCTTAATTCTTTACGAAATGTTTTACCAACAGCACAATAAAGATAAAAATTTATAGTATGATTAGTATACATTAATACTTCAGCAATACAATCGAATAATTCTAATAGTATCATTTGTTTTCTATTCAATTGAATATTCCATGCATATAATAATTTAATGAATACAACTGGTGCAGTTGTTAATAAGAATATACAAGAGATAAGCATTAATAATAAGGTTAACTGACGCATTTCATTCGATAAGATAACATGTGAATGTTGTATACAATTACTTGTCTTATATTCTATGCCTTTTACTCCATTATATGGTTGTAATTTGATACTAATACATGGATGTTTACATTTATATACATTACTACTAGATTTATTATTCATAATACTACGATTATTATTATTATTATTATGCTTACAATACATATTGATATTATTATCATTGTGTTGATGATGATGATGATGTAGTGTTGACTGTATTATCGGTGGGATAATTTTGTTATTTGTATAAGATTGTGAATAATTAGATGATGATTGTTGTTGATGTTCGGTTGCTGGTATACACCGATTCCATTTAATTGATAAACTATTAACTGGATAATCATTATTCTTACAATTCTTAATATATTGATTATGATGATGATAACAATAATTACGATTAGATATTTTATATATCATACTTTGACGTCGTTTACTAGCTGAGTGTATATTAAGTAGAATAATAGTATTTGATATAACAATAATAATGAATGGTAGATAACTGTATAATGAAGCATCAATCCATGTCCAAATACTTTGAAATCCATTCATTTTATATTGTAAATGAAAATCGCATATAAATGAATCAGTTACATTATTATATATATTGAATAATGAGATATTATCTATATGATTATAATTGTATTCATCAATTACATATCTTGATGATGAGAATAATGATGAAATAGTTTCTTTGATATCATCTTTCAATGTAACATTATTCATTGTCTGTACAAGATCAACAGTTGAAAAGAAATGTAAACTTATACTACATGCTAATAAACAAAGTATAATTAGTAATGTATAAGAATGTTTTAAACGATTTAAATATACTCTACTAATTGGTGATATAACAACTAATGTACGCTCTACAGTAATGAATACAATTATCCAAACTGATATATAACTAATAGTTACACTAATAAATTGTATTGATTTACATAATAACCAATGTTTATCTTCTAAACGTATTAATAATAATCTATCTAACCATCTACGTAATAAACCAATGCATAATACACCTTCATCCATTATAGCTAATAATAATAAATAGATATGTGATGATAAATATAAACTTGTACGTTTATAAAAGACAAGAAATGATAAGATATTACCAATAGTACCAATTAAAAATAATATAATTGGTATATAACACCATATCATATCAATAGTATAACATATAAATAGAAACAGAAATGGTATATCATCATTCATAGTTACTTCTTCTATTATTGATAAGTTTCTACTTTTATCTATAGAATATGCGTTTATAACCATTTGTTCAGGAGATTTTACTATAGGTTTATATGAATATATTGATGATGATGATGATGATGAACTTGTCTGTTTAATATAATCACATACAAAATATGATCCAGTTGAAGTCATAATGTTTTCATTGAAACAATCTACAACTGAAATATTAATCAGAGACATTATATTCAATTAAACTATTATAAATTCTCCAATGAAAAGATTTTTAAGCAATCTCTTTTCTGATTGGTTACAATTACTCTTTAAAATTATCCACCTCATTTGTAAGAGGGATGGGGTGGGGGAGGTTACTGAAATTTAGACATTCATAGAACTGTATTATACATGGAATGCAGTTTGATGCACGTTTCATCTTATCTAGGACCTATAAACTGAATATACCTACCTTCCAGTGAATGATGTTGTTGTTTCTGCTACGACTCAAACTTTGTACCGATGACTTTAAACCGCAGAACACTATCCATCACTTCTTGTGCAATCGGTATAGTTTCAGTGTTATTGTTTGTATTATCATATTTATCAATCTCTATTGGCATATGAGTGATATTATGCTCACAAGGACTCAAACGATATTGCTCATTCAGAGACGAGAACATGTAGCTGACGAGCTCGATGGAGGAAGGAAGGAACGTGCATTATACTGCATTCAACTGCTAGCCACTATCCACCAATAATATATAATTGAAACATAGACAATATTGACGCCTTCACACAGTAGTCTATATGCCAATGAGTTAAAACTTTGGAAGAAGTAATATGTAGTTTAGGCAATCTCTCTTTTGATTGGTTACAATTACTCTTTAAAATTATCCACCTCATTTGTAAGAGGGGTGGGGTGGGGGAGGTTACTGAAAATTAGACATTCATAGAACTGTATTATACATGGAATGCAGTTTGATGCATGTTTCATCTTATCTAGGACCTATAAACTGAATATACCTACCTTCCAGTGAATGATGTTCTTGTTTCTACTACGACTCAAACTTTGTACCGATGACTTTAAACCCGTGAACACTATCCATCACTTCTTGTGCAATCGGTATAGTTTCAGTGTTATTGTTTGTATTATCATATTTATCAATCTCTATTGGCATATGAGTGATATTATGCTCACAAGGACTCAAACGATATTGCTCATTCAGAGACGAGAACATGTAGCTGACGAGCTCGATGGAGGAAGGAAGGAACGTGCATTATACTGCATTCAACTGCTAGCCACTATCCACCAATAATATATAATTGAAACATAGACAATATTGACGCCTTCACACAGTAGTCTATATGCCAATGAGTTAAAACTTTGGAAGAAGTAATATGTAGTTTAGGCAATCTCTCTTTTGATTGGTTACAATTACTCTTTAAAATTATCCACCTCATTTGTAAGAGGGGTGGGGTGGGGGAGGTTACTGAAATTTAGACATTCATAGAACTGTATTATACATGGAATGCAGTTTGATTCATGTTTCATCTTATCTAGGACCTATAAACTGAATATACCTACCTTCCAGTGAATGATGCTGTTGTTTCTGCTACGACTCAAACTTTGTACCGATGACTTTAAACCCGTGAACACTATCCATCACTTCTTGTGCAATCGGTATAGTTTCAGTGTTATTGTTTGTATTATCATATTTATCAATCTCTATTGGCATATGAGTGATATTATGCTCACAAGGATTCAAACGATATTGCTCATTGAGAGACAAGAACATGTAGCTGACGAGCTCGATGGAGGAAGGAAGGAACGTGCATTATACTGTATTCAACTGCTATCCACTATCCACCAATAATATATAATTGAAACATAGACAATAATGACGCCTTCACACAGTAGTCTATATGCCAATGAGTTAAAACTTTGGAAGAATTAATATGTAGTTTAGGCAATCTCTCTTTTGATTGGTTACAATTACTCTTTAAAATTATCCACTTCAATTGTAGGGGTGGGGGTGGGGAGGTTACTGAAATTTAGACATTCATAGAACTGTATTATACATGAAATGCAGTTTGATGCATGTTTCATCCTATCTAGGACCTATAAACTGAATATACCTACCTTCCAGTGAATGATGTTGTTGTTTCTGCTACGACTCAAACTTTGTACCGATGACTTTAAACCCGTGAACACTATCCATCACTTCTTGTGCAATCGGTATAGTTTCAGTGTTATTGTTTGTATTATCATATTTATCAATCTCTATTGGCATATGAGTGATATTATGCTCACAAGGACTCAAACGATATTGCTCATTCAGAGACGAGAACATGTAGCTGACGAGCTCGATGGAGGAAGGAAGGAACGTGCATTATACTGCATTCAACTGCTAGCCACTATCCACCAATAATATATAATTGAAACATAGACAATATTGACGCCTTCACACAGTAGTCTATATGCCAATGAGTTAAAACTTTGGAAGAAGTAATATGTAGTTTAGGCAATCTCTCTTTTGATTGGTTACAATTACTCTTTAAAATTATCCACCTCATTTGTAAGAGGGGTGGGGTGGGGCAGGTTACTGAAATTTAGACATTCATAGAACTGTATTATACATGGAATGCAGTTTGATGCACGTTTCATCTTATCTAGGACCTATAAACTGAATATACCTACCTTCCAGTGAATGATGTTGTTGTTTCTGCTACGACTCAAACTTTGTACCGATGACTTTAAACCGCAGAACACTATCCATCACTTCTTGTGCAATCGGTATAGTTTCAGTGTTATTGTTTGTATTATCATATTTATCAATCTCTATTGGCATATGAGTGATATTATGCTCACAAGGATTCAAACGATATTGCTCATTCAGAGACGAGAACATGTAGCTGACGAGCACGATGGAGGAAGGAAGGAACATGCATTATACTGTATTCAACTGCTATCCACTATCCACCAATAATATATAATTGAAACATAGACAATATTGACGCCTTCACACAGTAGTCTATATGCCAATGAGTTAAAACTTTGGAAGAAGTAATATGTAGTTCAACACGACAAACTCGCTAGATTAACACAATTGACAATTCTGAATAGAATTTTGTTGTCAAATGTAGTCACAAATGTGATGATCTTATATGTAATGAACCAGACTACTTTCCAACGGATTTGGCCATAATACATGTCTAACATGAGTTTTGTATAACGCTGAAGAGAATTTTGTTGAAAAATATACACCCTAACAACAAAATGTTTTATCTTGAAAGCAAAGAGCGCTGAAACCTTCTCTTCACTTTGTCCAAAACAAATATATCTTCTTTACAAAGATAATGCTGATGGCACAATCCTCAAAGAGACACTGAAACCTTCATATCATGTGAACAACAATGTCGTATCCTATTACATCTACTAATTTAAACGTACATCTGGTGACACGTACATAGAGCGAGCTCACAGATGCATGCAAGCGAAGCTGTCTGAGCATAGTCAGAGGTTGCTTCAGAAGTAAATTGAATCATATGAACGCATAAATTTTGCTGAGAGATTTTCCACTTTCTCGATCACAAAACCTATCTTTAAGATAGGCCACAGCATTGACTTAGTGACGTGTTTTACATCCAGTTGCAAAATCTGTGCTGTGTAGATCTTTACATTTATCAATTCTTTAGTCATAAGTAAACTTAAGCCATTTTTGTGTGTGTTTAGAAACAATTTGTTATCACACGGAACCTTCCTCAATGTATTCAATCTCATGCTTCAAAGTGAATTTCCGGAAATAATATTCTTTAAACAGCGTAATGAGAAGACGATGATTATCTGAAACATGTTGTGATGTATTAGCGCTATACATTTCGAACAATCTGATCACACATGGACTTATCAAACTATTTATATGAAAATTTACGAAAAGGTCAATGAAGTTAATAGGAAACATAGGAATAGGAAGGGATAGAAAAGGAAAAGAAAAACCTTATTCTTGGTATGAATAAGAAAATCAATACTACCAAGGTAGGTTCAACGTGAGTACAAATTGTTTTTGTATACATAAAGGGGGTTTAAATTTACGGATGGCAAAAGCTTCAATAAATTTAAGCACTCGGCTCTGACCACTTTTATGTAGTACTTTAAAGGCTGTTTTCATGTCTATCCTATGGTTAGTTTCTAGTATATGTTTAACGATAGACGAAGATGGATGTTTGTCACCTGGACTTATCGGATCTGTTGAGGTCATTTGCTTTTGTAGCCACTTAGGTACATGTTCAACCTTCCTTAACTGTATATCACGATTACTCCTCCCTATATATTTACCTGTTTCGTAAATTTTCATATAAATAGTTCAACAAGTCCATGTGTGATCAGATTGTTTGAAATGTATACCGCTAATACATCACGACATGTTTCAGATAATCTTCGTCTTCTTATTACTCTGTTTAAATTATTTATCAAAGGGACCATTTGCTTTAAATAATATTTTTCATAAAATCAAAAGTTATAGCAATCTCGTTCAAAAAGGTTATTCCATGAGCTTAATATCATTGTTCTCTAAGATAACAAAAGGTTACAAATAACTAATAGTTTTAATACAAAGTCTACACCTTAATTTCTACTTGTTCATAGGTGTTCATTACGAAATGTTTACCGTTTTATGAGACTAGGTGTTTAGATAAAAAGCTACTAAAAACACTTATGGATACCGATTTCATAACTTTCCTGGATTGTCTTGCTAGTTACTAAGCCAACTACCAAATATCGAGTTATTGAGAAGTATCAAGGCATCCACGTAGAAGCTTATTGACCAACATAGTAAGGCAGTATAGGTTTTAAATTCTCATCCATTCATCATTATCACCATTATTAACTAACACCTGTGTTATCACTAGTCATCATATGCTTACAGTCTCAGTGATAAATTGTTTACCAATCTGGATGAATAATCAATGAGATGTAAGTGTTTCTTTGTATGTCTGATATTATGTCTTGGATCATGTGTCTCTCTCCGATGGGTCTCTTTGTTCATATGTTTAGATGATAAACAAACCTACTTTAACTGAAATAGAGTAAGATGATTTGAAGTCTATGTGGTGATGGAAATAGGACGATTTCTTATGGATACTAATGTTCAGACTCTTCTATTGTTTATCGCTTCACTGCACAATCTAATATAGTAAGCTTTTCCTCATCAATTTCATATTCATAAACAAAAGGGATTGCACCCACT